CAAGAAAAACTCTGCTCTGGGTTGGGCAAGAAATATGCTCACATGTTAGGTGACAGTCAGTGGGAATATGACAAGACTATCGCACAGCTAGCCGGAACTCAGCCACTGAGTGAAATTTATGAGGATCTTTATAATCATGTGTTTTACAGAAGGAAAAATTTCCTTATGGAATATAAGAATGATGAGTACAAGATAACTTCTGATGGGACATGGGCAAAAAATGAAAAAGTTGAAAACTGATGAGAAGGATCTTCTGGCTATTTAATTGATTAGTAAGATATACCAAAATTGGAACTCTGTGAACAATACCTCGGTGAGTGAAGCCTCCTGTTGAAATATTTGTTATTATTAATTATTATTAAGAGTATCTAGTATTGTAAGTATCACAAATGGAGTGTAGCATTGAATGGTTCTGTAAGCATGTTTTGCAAGTAGAATATAAAACAAAATGGTCAGTTTTAAATAGTTTATATATTTTTCAACTGTATTTTTGTGTTGTATTGTTTTTCAGTGTTGCGAAGAAACAAAAAAAAGAAAAATTAATTTGAAGCCCTGCTATCTCGGACTATTTTTGAGTATTTTTCGCCTCATTCGTGCAGAGATCATGTTCAAGCCAGCATTTTTTCAGATTTTTTTTCACAGCTACCTATATCAAGTTCACAACTGCATAAATACTATTTTTCTACCGCAGTTTAAATATATATTTTACATATGTACTGCTTATCTCAATCATCTACTAGTATATTACCCCCAATTGGTTTGATAGCTTATTTGGTGGAGCACTGCACCGGTATTGCAGAGGTCAATCATTGGTTTCAAGTCAGAATTGTCTTAGTAAACAGTAAGTGTGGTAGTCAGAAATTTAAAATCTTTAAATCAATCTAAAAATCAAGGAAGATTTTTACCGGTGGTTTTTGGGCAAAACCAAACCGATAAGAGAACCAATAAGCTTTATTAGGACACTTTTTACCGAATAATCACAAAATAATAATTGTAGTAAAGTTGTTAATGTTCGTGTATGGCGTTAGTTTTTTACAATCAGCTTGAAATCTGGTGTCCTCCCTGAAGACTGC